CGCCAACATGCTTCTGTTCAAGTTTTAAGCAATTTTTGCTTGATCCATTTGAGACTTGGTTTGGATTAATTATGCGACATTTTGACGAATGCATTATGCGATGAGTTCTGGCTTTTTTGGCATTGATAGGTTTTTGATTTCAGATTGAATATTTTTAAATGTTTTTTATCAGCTATCCTCGTCATACGATATTTCATTTCAATTGTATGAAGCAAAAGAATGAATGTTAAAAAAGCACAAAAGAAATGAATTCATGAAATAACTTAATAAGAAATGAATTCATGAACTAACTTTCATGGACTTCTAATCAGTTTTAAAATCTTACTAGAAATAGTTCCTAGAGTTATCACATGGCGCACCCAGCAATCTGATGCAACATAGCCAGACAGGCATAGGAAATCTGTTCTGGAACTCACAACCACCATGACAATCAAAAATCTATTTCGAACACTTTCTCATGACAGTGACGGTGAAACAAAACGTCAAGCACAAGTAACTCCAAGAAACCCTACGACTGTTTTAAAGTAACCACCAACAAGACCAGAGACGGTGAAAATGCGAAAGCTATAGCAACAAGACAGCTTAGAGAAAAACCATGGCAGTCGATAGAGCAACAATAAAAAGAAGAACGAAAGGCACGATATTCTACGGTGGGACACAACATACTATTGAGGCGCAACAACGACCAGAAAAAAAAAGATTCTTTTTTGCGTTAGGGACAGAAGACCGGAGACGCTTTGTGCAAAAAAACCCAAGCAGGATTTCAAAACTTAATTCACAGACAAGGCGAAATGGCAAAGGAGGCGCTTGAAAAGGTCAAAAGAGTAACCTGTGAAACATACAAACTGTTCAATAGATGGAAGATTCAGGAAAAACAGAGGCATTTCATAAAGCTCTTACTATACAAGCAGCTGGTTCAGAGATGAGCACTCTCAAAGATGAATGAATTTGCGAGAGCTCTGTTCATGCCAAGTATGGAGGCACTCATTGAAGAGCAACCGTAAAATTTATAAAAGAACTTCTTCAGAAATAGAAACACGAACACAGACGAGCGGGAAGAGTTAACTACCAACTGAGACAGAACGAGTTCAAAACAGTAGTAAGTCAGATAAAAAACGAAAGAAACGAGAAGATATGTTTTGAGGAACACTTGAAAAAATGTCCAGCTATGGGGAAATTAAGCAATAAACATAATTATTTCACAAAAGTGTGTAGATCGCAGCAAGAGAGCGAAAGAGCTGAGGAAATGGAGGCATCGGAGGAAGCGATCATTATAGTAAATGATTTTGATTCATGTGATGAAGTCTAAATAATGTCCTGAAAGACAGGTGAGAGGCGCCTGAAAACGGGCTGCATAGTTCCACGGCGTTTTCGCAATGAGATTTCGCTTGGTTGAAAATGTAGTAACTTTTACAATGCATGGAATCTAATTTGCAAACAATTTATTATTATTATTATTATTATGATTATTATTATTATTATTATTATTATTATTATGATTATTATTATGATTATTATGATTATTATTATTATTATTATTATTATTATGATTATTATTATATCCCTATCAAATCGAGAAAAATGCTCAGGACAATTTAGACAACAAAAATTATAACAGAAGAAACAAAGAGGGCTGTCGGTGAAAAAATAGGTATTCACGAAGGTCCATCAGAGAAGATGAGACCATGAGAAGCATTGATGCGAATGGACAGCCAAATTTTCCACATGACGGTGCATTCGGGAAAATTTGCATCACTTCTGAACGGTGCAACGAAGGAACAAGTGATGGAAGCGTCGAAACGAGCAAGTTCATTTCGGCAGAGAAATTAAACCTGCCAGGCCGTGTGGATTACAGCAAACAGTCAATTATGATTCTGAAAGCCATTAAGGCAAAAATTAAGGCAAGTGATTGGAGCAACCTTGTTAATCACAGAAAAACGAACAAGGCGTGTGGGGAATCACAACTACACAGAGACCGGCGCCAAGAGAAAATTCAAGAATTAACGTGCTGCTGTGCGAGCAGTTTGAAGGTTGGAAACAAAAATTCCATAACAAACTTAAACAATTATTTGATAGGCGAGAGAAATCAAACCATAATGTGGTGAGTTCGAAATTCAACCTCCCACTTTATCCAGTTTAAAGAAAAAGTAGGCGCATACTTATTTATTTATCAGAAAGGGTAGCTTGAGAGAAAGAAACTGTTTTCGGAAGGACTTACGTAAAAATTGGATATATGTACAAGTGATTGCTTCGTCGCACCCGTTGTTATCACAGTGAACAAGGATGACTCTATCAAACTTAAAATAGATGCGAAGCCAATAAAATGGCAACTGTTGAGAAGCAAAGAAAAATGGCAACTGTTGAGAAGCAAAGATCAAGATCAAATGCCAAATGTAGACGGACTACAAGACGGTTAAGTCAGATAGTGACAGCAGAAAATACTTACTACATGCCTAATTCAAAACAAACAGAATCACTCGAAACTGAGGAAATAACTTGGCATCTGCGTCAATAATCCGACTAAAAGACAAAATCTACTTAGCAATTTCACGATGATAAAATAAACTAGCGTGTAACGCACCTCCGGTGCTTCGAACTTTTTACAACCCATAAAAAGGTTGGAAACAATATCTGCATCCTTACAGTGTACTCTGACAAATCGTGTAATTTCAACTTTTGTAAAAAAAGTTTTATTCAAAGTTTTAAAAACCATACAGTTTTTTAGATCCAATTTCTTTTGAAAAATTTTAAAAGAAATTAAAAAAAACACCTCTCGCAAACTAAAAACTTAGCAGTCGCATTTGGACGCAAGCTTTGCTATTTAGAGCTCCTGAGAATACTCTTACAAGACCCATTCACAAGGTTGGGAATTTCAAGTCTTCTGAATTTTTCATCAAATTTTCTCAAAAAATTTTTAAAAAAATCATAAAACACGTCATATCTCGAAAACTATACAAATTTGAGCAGTCAAAATTGGAGGGAAGATTCGCAACCCCTGAGACCTTGAGAGTACTTTGAAAGCACACAACTACAGAGTTGGCCATTTCAAGTTTTTGTGAATTATTTTTTTTGTACTCAAAATCACAACAATCGTCGTAGCTCGTACACTAAAAGGATTTGGGCATTCATAATTGGAGGCCAAATTCGCAACCCGAGGTGGAACCCTGACACCATTCCACTATTGGGCTGCTTATTTTTAACTCGGCAAAATAAACACTGAATTCGAACCGGAAAATCGAAAAAAAAAATCTTAACCCTTGCAATATACGATAAAGCTTACACGAGAAAAAAATTTTCGTAAAAAATGCAAAATTAACACGTTGAAAAAGCTTAAACGTGGCGAGATAGTGAAGCCCGCATTTAAATATATATTAGTTAAACTTGTTATGACCACAATTCAACAAAAATTGATTTTCCCGCTATGCCTTTTCAGTCAAATTCCAATACCTTAAAGTATATGGAGCTGGATTCAGAATCTTCCAAACAATCGTCATTCACGAAACAACTAATTAGAAGAGCAAAAAAAGTTATCTGCTAGTTAGAACTTCAAACGTTTGATTGGTTCCGCTCATAAACTGTTTGATCAGTACCGTCCAACACACTCAAAATTTTACTGTGCACTGCAATTTCAAAGCTCGTAAATTAGTGGAGTACAGGTGCGGCTGTTAAGATTTTCCCGACAATTCCCTACTACAGCGAAGAATCCACTGCACTTTTTCCATCCCAAACCACCGAAAACAAGACCATTAAACAGAACTTCATACTTAAGCACAGAGGCGAAGCTGACCTTCGCAATACTTGCGATACAAGTATGAATGGCTATGATTCAAGTCAAATTGAATTTTTTTTTAGAAAAAAACTTCAAAAAATCGTCTGACTATGATTCAAATCGAACGGAATTGATTTTAAAACTTCAAAAAAATGTCAATAAAAACTGCAAAAGCACAAAATATCCGGAACAAAAACTTCTGCAACATTAGAAGCTTTACAAGATCATTCAGAATTCTAGAAAATCTTTTCCGCGGAACTAGGCCGACAAAAATAAGCATACATAACAATCTAAATTAGAAAAAAATCTAGTTGCAAAACAAACAGGCCTGGACTGGAATGGAGCCCTCGGGCATTGTCGTTTCAAGCACGGGTGTTACAACTTGGAAAGAAACTGAACCTTCAAAAAAATTCGGGCTGCGAGAACTAAGCCGACAAAAATAAACAGGCCGAAGATCGTCCGAAAAAGTACAAAAACTCTAGTTTGCAAAAAACAGGTCCTGGCCGGATTCAACCGCAATCCTTTGCGGTCTCAGGCATTTGTGATACATCTATGCCAGATGGTTGATTAAAATTGTATTTATAACTACCAAGCGCTTACGAAGACGAAAATACCTGAGCAGAAACCTTTCATGCCGAAATTTTTTTAAAGCTAATAAAAAAATGTTAGATCCCTTTCCCATTAGTACACCCACACGCACACAAAGACTCAAGAATCTTAGAACACCCAAAGCGCTCAAAGAACGCAATAAGAGGCCACTAAGTCAATATAAATTAAGCCAAAACTTAATATAAATCCCATATAAAACCCATATAAAAGACAAAAAGAAAATAGAAATTTTCCAAATTTGGCAACTAAGCCGACAAAACAGAAGCAGACAAAAAATAACCGAAATTTTTTTGAACCGAATCTTTTGTCGTTTGAAAACAAAACAGGTCCTGTTCAGATTCGAACCCAGGATTTTAGCTGTCCCAGACGTATTAGTTACCTCCTGGCGATGAGTGCAGCAGAAAATAAGTAATTTGAATTCATTATGAACCAAGGTACCACCTGCAGTCATGTGAACAAAGTTTCTTACACGAAAAAAGTCTAGTATCCGATTTACTTATTTAGCTAGTACAGTGAGGTAAATTTGGATAAATTAGCCCCTCCGATTCGCTTAAGTTATGATGGTATTCCAAAAATTGACTTTCAAAGTGAGATATATTGTACAAACTAGACAGAAATACTGGGTAGGTGCAAAAATTTGTACCCAAGTTTTTGCAAGGTGCACAGCACGTTAACAACTTCGGTCAGGTGGCAGCCACTAGCATGAGGTTCTTGTATTATAGATAGCTGACTACTAGCGGCGGGTATTTTCAAAACTTCTATTCAAGCGTCATATTTTTATATAGTTAATACCTTCAACAAACTCACACTAAAGACGAACATCCAATTTCAAAATAGATGATTGCCCTTAGACAACGAACAGATAGATATTTAGAATCGACAGCATCCATATTATAGCACATCCAGTCTGTACGCAACTTCTTAGTCTGTTCGCTCTTCCCCAATCTTGTTTCTACGAACACAATTATATTTACGGTACTCAGTTTCAAATAAAAACAGAAGATTGTTGCATCCAATTTAAAGCACGTGTTAATGCACTGTTTGGAGAAGGCATATGGCAAGTTTCAATAAAACGTAGATTAATGTGAAATTTAGGAAAGGCCGTTGGAAAATAAAATATCAGCGTCGGTGTCGCACCCAACTTGCCAATCAGATGGCAATTTGTGCTCATTGAGGAGCTACCGTTTGCGTAGAAGGTAGAAAACACCACTAGCAATCACCGCTATCCCGACCACTACGCTAGCCGGGAATGTGTAAGAACTGAGACGATGCTGCTGCAGGGTTCCTGGTGGTCCTTCAACAGCTGTTGGACCACCTTGGTCTGGGTGGTCCTCCGGATGTGAATCTGGAGTTCTGATGAGTTCGGGCAGGTGCGGGAGTGATGGTTTGTTGGCCTCCTTTTCGATGTCTTCTTTGATGGCATTACCGTTGTTGGCCCATCCGCCCATCCGTGCGATCCAAGACACCACGGGCAGTTCGTTTAGCTTCTCGACTAGTTTGCTCCACACTTGCTTCAGCAGATCAAAACCTTAAAATAATCCCATATTGAAAAAGTAACCCGCTGCTGTGCAAAACACAGAGAAATTTCTGACTAAAACTATTTTTTTTCCAATATTTCTGCCGTTTCTTATGCTCGCGGGGAAAAACCAAAAGTACGCCTAAAACAAAGTCTATTATTAACGTATTATTGCTTAATTCGATCAATTTATAAGGCTACAAAATATCTGTATGATGATTATTTGGTGTACTTGAAACTGCGGGGAAAAAGTTTAGAAAAAAAAACACTCGAATAAAGGGTTCATACCCACAACATGGTCGAAATAAAATTATCATTCACAACAGTCTTAAGTAAATTTGATCATTCTTTTGATATAAGGTTCACCAAAATCTAAATAGCCGTTTTAGCATTTCTGTAATTGTGAATAAAAAATACTTGAATCGCGACAGTATAGGTATAGGAAAACAATTCAGGATAAAACTTTCATTACGAGGCCAAACTGTGCACTGGTAGATAGTAGCACAATATTGTGTCAGTATGTTCGTGGATTCCAGAGACAAGTCTTTAAGCATGTTAAAATTGTGTAGGAACGATCAAGGAGAATGAAATAACAAAAGAAAAACAAAGGGAGCGTCCTTGTTGCGGAATCCTGTTAACATTCGCAAAATACAGTTTGGCCTCGTAATGTTTTGAATTAACTGTTTGATTTACTTAAAACAACTGATTTAAATTGCTATGAATGATGGCATAAAAAGCAGGGGCGCCCTCAGGGATTCGACCTCCTTACCAACCAAAGGGCCCCCTTTGGTATTATTTTACGAAATCCATTTTCGACCAACCGCTTTCGGCGCCTATAAATACAAATTTTGAAGGTGAGCGCTCGCTAAAAACGATTTTTTTAATCGAAATTTTCCAAAACGTGTACAAAAACGGCTTGTTTTTTGGAAAATCAATTTCTGAAAATCCGCCATCCCCCTTTCGAGAAAATCCTATGTCCGCCCCTGATAACAAATATTATTTAGATCGAGAAATCTCTAAAGGGACTCTTAATTTGAAGTTCAAATTGAGGTTGTTTGTTTTGGCGATGAATTAGATGAGCTTCAGCTCCGCTGTCTAAAGTGAGGGGGCAAAAATTGCCAATTGATTGAATTTCTGATCTGAAAAGGAAGTGAAGTGGGATGAAATTGAAGTACATTGAGAGCAAAAAGAAATTGATTGATTGTCGGTACCTTTTCCCAGTCAATTTGTAAACGCTCTTCTTTTGGTTCAGAAGTGCAGCCTTTAAGTGATTGACTGGACGCGCTGTTTATTCAGTCGCAAATGGCACTACCATAACCTCTCCATGCAGGCTATGGGGAAGGCATACTTTTTCCGGGTTTTCAGTTACAGAACTTCCTAAATCGATGGGATCGCCCCGGCATTTAACTTTAATCCTTCTCATTGGTGCCGGCATTAGTCCTAACTATGATCCCTGTACCCTCTCCCCTCGCAAACAGAAAATCTTACGGACCCAAACCAGCGTCCAAAGGTTGGATCCATTTTAAATGCAGCGGTTGTAAAAGCTCAATAGAGATTTTTACAGCCTCTCGTCGTGAAACTTATACACTGCCCAATTCGGTGACTAACAAAACTAACCAACCTTACTCTCCAGCCCGTTACAACCCTCTCTCCAATCACTTATCATTTTCCTTCGATCACACCACCCCTCCCCCTTGTAACCAATTAAACTTCTAATTCGCGACATGACTCGAACCCCCCTACTGCATCGAACTCCAAAATAAACCAAGCAAACCCCCGTTCTACCAAGTCCGTGAACATTCTGCATTTAAAGGGTAATTCTCTACCAAGGCCCTGAACATTCTGCAACTAAAAGGTAATGTATCTCTAGGAAGGCACCCAAAATTGCAGCCGTATTGTGCGAGAACCAGATCTACATCTATATGAGAAACTAGAAATAGAAGAAAGGGGAGCTTTGGGGGCACAAGTGAAGGCCAGCAACCAAAAACATCGTATCACAAATTTCTACATCCCTCCACACTCAAGCTGCTCCAAAGACTTCTAAGGTCCCATACGATAGTAGCACGTCAGCATCATTCATGTCAAACATATGGAAAGCTAGGCTCAGATCATCCCCATTTTTAATTACAATTTCAATTGCGGAAGATATCCCGTTCGCTTCCCGTAAACTTTTATAAATTTAGAAAATAGACTGGAGAAGTTTTTAACGATGAAATTGATGTGATTTAAGCAAAGAAACCATTGCAGCACGAGAAAAACGCCGCATAACGGACCTTTGGTGACACAATACATGCTGCAGCACCTCATCATATTCGCCCAGGCCAACCTTTCTTTATTCCAGCTCTCATGAGAAACAAAAAAAATGTCCAATAAAGAGATCAAATCAGGATTTAAACCCATCAAAGCCTCTTTTAAAAACTTAAAGCAAAAAGATCATGACAAAAACTAACGACAAAAAAAAGAAATGGAGAGAATTTCTGCAGATTTTAAATCACCATACGTCGTCCATTAAGTTCTGGAAAGTAGTCCGGTCATTGAATGGCTGCAAATCACCATCCTCTGCTAGGAAACCACCCAATTGTTTTTAATGATAAAAAACGCTCTGGGCCGGTAGACCTTTCAAATTTTTTCAACGTACAATACACTAAATTGAAAATCCATAAAAATGATAGAGCTCAAAGAGCAGCTAAAAGAAAGGCCTTTAAATTTAGATTCGAAGTTAAACCCTCGCGGCACCCTCTGAAAACTGAGAAAAAAGTCATAGCGGGAACTTTATAACCAGATGGTCTATGCACATACCATCTTAAATATTTCGGGCCCATAGTATTTTAAGCAAACATTTTTAATCGTTCATTCTTTGAGCAAAACTCTTTTTTATCAGCGATGATTACAACCAACCAAGGCGTCCAAATAGAACAGTCCTGGTCACGCTTCTTTTATCAAAAACTTTTATTCTGGCCACATTGCACCCTCTTTGATCTTTTTCATTGCAACAGCGTACCGGAAAGCCTAACTAAATAGTTGTTAGTCTACCTGAGTGTGTGTCAATAAAAAACTAGGTTAAGGAACGCCTTGTCAAAATCTAAGATTGTTCGTACAGGCGTCCTTCAAAGCTCAGTCTAATCGCCAACACTTTTTTAACGTCCATGACGCTGCACTGTCGCCCTCGATGTAAAATTGCAATCTTACGCGGACGACTTTCACCTTTTTATCCAGTCCGCCAACATCTCAACAGCCTCAATCTTATCCAATTATCTATTTCATTTACAAACTTTTAACCTCATGGTCTTTTGTTTTTTCTTAATGTTCGTCCAGCCTTTTTCTTCTTTCAACAAAGATTTTACAGTTTGCATACACAAGCGAAAATATGATAAAGCTACTGGGAAAAATTAAATGAATAAAACTTTGAGTCTACTTAATTTCGTAAATGGCGCACGCCAATTATGAGTCAACATAAATGTTAAGTGACGCCAGCCAATAATGACGCATAAGCAGTACCACTCAGTTTTTTAAAAAAGAAATTTGCCAACTACCATGCCTCAATTGTGCTATTTGTAATATAATAGTTTGTGTTATTATCCTTAGCAATGACTGTTCTTAATAGCTGGATCAAAATGAACACCTTCAAAATGAACATACTTGGTCGCAACAACTGCATCGAAACAATATTTGCGACTTAGGCTGAAAAAAAACAGATAGTTCACACTATAACACAAACTATGCTTGTGTAAACACTCATCAGAATGCAGAAATGAACAACGCTATACTTCCCCTCAAAAAATATCCCATATTACTTGGGTGTCTTCTTTGACTGGTCGCCAAAATTCGCAGAAAATTGCAAGCGAAGATCCTCAAAAGCCACTCTCAGAAAATCGATCGTGAAGGCTCTATCCGAGACTTCATGGGGCCAGTCTAAAGAATCTTTACTGGCTACTTTTAAAGCTTTGGCAAAACACTTTTAAATTATGCGATCCCTGCCTGGTCCCACACTGTCATAAAATCGTCTTTGAACACACTGCCATGATGACAAAATGATGACTTCCGCATTATAACAGGGCGCTTAAAGATGAGCGGAATAGAGCATTTAAACTCAGAATTTGTACTTTTCGATAGGAACCACCACCAACTAATGGCGTCACATTTCGCCCTCAAAACTTTCGTTCCATCAAATCCGCTACTTGTTGTGATCATTATCCCGAACCCCCATGGAGGTTCTTTCATCTTCAACATTTTAAATTGCTTCAAAAGCAACTACACACTTATACAGTTAGGCAGGCCATATCAGATTCACCGCTACCAAAAAATCCGCACCTCAGACCACCTAAAAGATCACCCATGCTGAAGAATCCCTCTCCCGTTCCACAAGGAGAACCCTTTCCCAGTTAAGGTCCGGGTACACCCCATCGTGAATCCGTACCTGAATCGAATTGACCCCAACGTCCCCCCACACTGCCCTTCCCCCTATACACTCTTCATTTTTAACTGTTCCCACAACATCGTAACCCCAATAGACGTGTGGCCTATTCCTACCGAATTTTTCTGGGGCTTGTTTTGAGCATACCGGACGCGCCCTTAGAGGGCTAAAAACAATAATACGCCCTTATTCTGAGAAACCGTCTAAATTACACAGTCAACTTCATTTTGTGTCAGAGACGCGTTTTGAGCCCGGAAACCATCCGAAAATTTAAGGAACAACAAACGATCAATAACTTTTCAATTCGCAAGGCAGAAGTAATTACAAACTGATTTTTCTCGTTGCAGTCACGACATCAGTTCATGTTCCAGTAACTTCTTATCTGTTACGTCTTCCTAGACTACAAGGAGATCGAACACGAAAACCGAGGATTAAAGACTTTAGTTGTGAGAAGATACCTTTTTTGAGGATGACCCAGGAGGCGAAGCTGAAGTAGGTGAGGATGCGAGACCAGGATATCTCTTGAGGGTTCGAGAACAGTCGCACAGCTATCTGGCCCAGTCCCTCTATGATCTGTCCTACACTGTCTCCTAGCTCCCCCATCATGGCCTCGAAGTCGTCCTGGTAGCGCACTCTGAGCTGTAGAGAAGCCCTGTTTATTTCAAGCCCCAGCTGAAACAACCAGTCAAAAATCAATGTGAAGACACAGACGCGAAGGTGGCACATAAATTGCCAGTAAAAACACTAGTTTTGATTTGGTCATTAAAAACTGGTTTATGGCACTTCTCGATATAGATTCGTTTGTGTACATTTTGAAATCGAGTAAATTTTTTTAACCGAAAGAGCCTGCGCAAACGGTTTAGATTTTTTAATTGAACAATTGACAATAAGCATCGATTGTAAGCAAATATAATTGTCAAATTCATAAGATATAAATTTTGAAAAATCATAATTTTAGAATCCGCATGCCAAAACTCATTTAAGAACTCGCTATGTGGATTGGTAGTATACCATTTGTCCCTTTTCAGGAACTGAACCAAAATTTTTTCTAGGGGCGAATTTTTTTAAAAAAATTGTCGACCTTTTTCTAGACTGACCAAATTGATTTTCCAAGTTATCTAAGAACACTATTAAGACGCTATTTTGCAAATTGCCGTTTTTTGGATTTTTTTGAAATATTTTGACCAAAAAATTTGTTTTTTTTTGCCCTCCTCCGCTCATTTGTAGCAAATATTGGTGCCGAAAGTGCCGCATGAGAATTTTGGGGACAAAAGGGCGACCTTTTGAGTTCTGAGAAAATTGGGGCGTCCGCTATAGCCTATGTGCCTGCCCTCTTCTATATTCAACAGATTATAATCAAAACGAGCCGTTCGCAAGTATAGCAAACAACACGAACTTCATTAGCTCCCAGTTACTGTGTAGAGCCACAGGATGTTTGAAAAAGTTTGTAACGATTCAACATTTTTTTGAAAAATGAGCTTTCATTTTTTGACCAACCATAACCAACAGAGTTGGAAAAGAGTATATGAACGCAAATTGAATTGTTTTTTGAAAAATTTGATTTTCAAAGAAAAAAAGTTGCTTTTAACGCTCTTTGAATTTCTAGAACTATTTATCATTGGCTTTTTTTTGATAAAATTAACCCAATTTGAGAAAACTGGATCAATAAGTAAAATCTTTATTTCGCTGGGAAATCTTAACATTCGAAAACAGAAATCAATCACGTCTATCATGACTTTAACACTTTTACTGTTCGATACTCAAATTGATCTTTCTTTTAACAAAGGAAATGAACTGAACTGAGAAAAAATCAAAAGTCAAAGCGAAAAAGTAAATTAGAGGATGAACAAACTAAGACTTTTCCCGAAAAAATTACAAAAAAATTATCGCGGCCTATATAAGATATAAGAGTCTGAACTACATTCATCGGCTCTTAAAACAGTTTAAGTTTTAAAAACTGCGCTCTAGAGTCTCACACACAAACCACGGAAACTTAATAAATCACAAACATTAGCCAAAAATAAAGCATAAACAGATGCTATTAAATTTCCAATGCTACAGATCGTGATTATAGCAAGTGCCACCAAATAAGTGAACACTTCTAATGAACACTTTTATTTGCCAGTAAGGTTAGAAAAAAAAGGTTCGCACAAATACACTTCGCTGCTCGCAAAAGTAATAAAACGATCCTTTCCATGAAACCGAATTTGAAAAGCTTTAGCAATACTGACATCATACTCAAGGAAAACTTTTTTTCGTCACAAATTTTGCCCTAAACAGTATCCAAGGTAACCTTTCGTGCCAAACATTTTGGCAACATATTACATAAGAATTAGTTGTGAATCGCTGGATGAACCTGGAACAAGGTCTCGTCTGATTCGGACCTGCGCCCGGTGCCTTCCAGGGAGTCGAAAAAGGTTTGGACACTGTCTCCAGAGTTGTGGGTGGAGGCATCCTCCATCAGGTATCCCTGCAGCACCAGAGTGGTCTGTCTCTCCACTGGAACTGGCTGGGCCATAGTCACCGAGGTAGTGTGACTCATCGTGGGCCTCACCTGGAGGAGGAAAAAATAACGTATTGCTCCAAATGGTGCATTAGAAAAAGAGCAAGTTATATTAGCATCACAAAAATTTAGCGTAACGATGTCATAAATTTAGCATAACTAAATTATCATTTAGGTTATCGGACTCAATTACATTGCAGGTTTGAAAAAATGAAGCTAAGATAGGAAATTGTGAATTGAAAAACAAAGAGCAATTTAAACTAACCACGAGTGCAGCCGAGGGCGAGTCGGATGCGGCTTCTGATATGTTGGGCAAGTCGGCGACAGAATCACCATCACCACAATTGTGGCCGTTCGATTGGTCCGAATCATTAGACATTGTATGGTCAAATGGCCGCTCCTTTCAAACGGGGTTTAAGGGTCACAAATAGCCGACGTTTGAGTACAAAACAAATGATTCCCAGAAGGGTAACTTTGATATGAACGCAAGGCTAACCAGATGGCTGAGCTTAAACCGATGGTTGAGAGAGAGAAGGTGATGCAAAATAAAGTAGGATCCTTCGAGGTCACCTACTGTTGGTATGTCGACAAGATTCGAGCTGATTTCTCTAAACTACGGATCGCAATATTGCCAAAATAAGTCAGTCAGGCATTTGTAAAACTATCTGAAAACAACCTAGCGATTGTATAGAATCAAATTAATCATCATATCTTTTATTTTGCAGCTTGATCAAAAAACCAAACTTTAAAACCTCATCTAATAAAAATGATACAAGATGAAAATGCAGCAAGGATTGCCAGTTACTGTGCAAGAAGAACAGAAAGTTCTGACTACTTTGTCAGAATTTTTAAATTATTTTTCATCTAGTTACTGTCTTTTCTTGTACGTTTTTTGATGATAGAACTCGCTCGACAAAAAATTAAAAAGATAGACAAAAAATTTAAAAAATTCAAACCAGTTTTTCTCGACACTGGGACAATTTTTTTGTGAAATTTTAATGACGTTCGAATCACGACTGAAAAGGCTTTAATATCACTCGAACCATTCCGATGATTATGATGTTGCGTGGAAAACAAAAAATGAAAAAAACTAAAACACACCGAATACAAGGTTCCTACCCATTTTCAATAGTCGGAACAATAAAACAAGCACTGCACACAGGTTAAAAAAAGACACTGAATAACTTGAGGTGACCTGACCCATCATCAGCTAAAAGTAGATGAACAATACCTATTCAACGGGCTCAATGCGGCAGCAAAGAATCAGTTTGATAGATCAGGCTAATAGTTTTATATATAAACTGATTAGAATATAGTCAGTTGTTGGGTTTGCGGTAGCCTAAAAACTATCACCTTCAGCTTTCATCAGAATTCATGATCAAATGAAAATTTGTCAAATGAAATTTCAATTATATCAATCTAGATAATCAAAAACTGATGCATTTATTGGAAGAAAACAATGACAGGAAACAAATAATCAATTTTGAGGAGGATAACCAACACGACTTTTAATCAAAATGATAACAAATGATAACAAACTCTAATTAAAAATGATTGCAACAAAAATGTTAATCCAAATTTGGCCACATGTTGCATTAACATGTAGCCAAATTGCAAAAACATGTAGCCAAAAAATAACTGCTATTTAAAGAAATACGCAAAGAAACGATCAATTACACCAACTTTATTTAGCTAAATTGGTACAATTTCGATCTGAATCAACCGAAGCGTTGTGAATTTAAGAAAATCTGTTATAAAACTCTTTAGATTAAAGTGGTAAAATCAGCATTAGCTTAATACTTCTGATATAAAAATCAATAATGGCATTAAAACTTCTGACTGGCTTAAGCGTGGCTATCAAATAAGATGTGATGTAATTCTATTTGATAAAAATGAAGACTTCAAATTTAGTTAAATGTAGAAATAGTAACAAGTGAGATCACACGTTCCGACAATCCAGCTTAATCAGATGCCAGTGAGAAATGCTTACGCTAGTACGCTACCACTACCAGCATCAGGTGCCTGGAAAAGAATGGTGACTCACTCAGTGGTAGAACTGAATGATTAAACGTCAGTCTAGTGGTACTTTTAACTGAGACGCACAAAATCTGTCCTTTCTATGCTCAATCAATGAGCGTTCCGCGTTCCAGTTTTCATCAGACCTTTTAATACGACGCCCAATTTCAATAACAGCAACAAGAATTACCGGTTGCTGTGCAACTCGCAACAATGCTTATAACACGTTCAATTTTCGGGAAAACATTTAAGTACAGAAAAAAAACCATCATTTTTTGACGTTTTTATACTGAGGAGAACAGGGCAACTTTTTATTTTCACATTGAAGGCGAAAATTAGTTTGCTCGAAACCTAAATAATTTCATATAGACTAAGAAAATACAAAAACTTTATGGTAAACAGCATAGGCGGGTTTAGGATTTTCTCGATGCCGCAAATTTAAAAAAAAATCAAAAATTTGGTCGACTTGTTAGATCGTCCAAAATAATTTTCTGAGATTTGAACAGGTATTTTGGAGTGGCTTCCCGCTTAAAATAAGTCATTTATGGTCTAAATTCAGCATATTTTTTTTCTAGAAGCAGTGATAACTATAGTTAAAAAAACGTTAAAATGTAGCATTCAAATTCTAGCATAAATAATGCTCAGGTTGGCCTTTAAGCAAATTTCGTCTAATATTAGTCTGATCGAAAAAATGAAGACCCTGAAGTTAAAAAAACCTGAAGATTTTTCTTGAACTGGAACGATTTTTTGAAGTTTTTAAGAATCTGAATCGTGTCCAATAGGGCTTCAAAATGATACAATCTATGAGCAGAACAAGTCTAAAATGAAAAACACATGCACTTTCAACTACAAGGGAAGTTGCGCAGACACCTGTTGTGCCGAAAAAAAAAGATTAACACAATTAAAAAATTTTCAAGTCCACCTCCCTGAACATTCAAAGAACAACATTTTCACTAGCAAGTAAAGTTGCTTACAGGACAAACAAGATGTGTGATGCGGCAACTAAGCCGACAAACTTTAGCAGAATAACGGAAGTCCAACAATTCTATTTTAACCATTTTTTTTAATTGCATGCATACTAAGAAAACAAGGTCCGTCCGAAAGCCGAACCCCCGACCTTAGGGTACAAAGGCCACCGCGTTAACTCTAGGCCAAGTGGGAAGGAAGCTGGAGGTTGTGAAACTTTATTAAAAAAAGCAAGTTGAAGATGAGTTAAAACGAGTCAGAAACGTTGTTCACTCGAAAAACTCTTGTTCTCGATTTCAAGACACTTGCTCTCGCAAATAAAACAATACCTGATGTTGTCGCACAGAAATTTTTGTCGTCACAGCGCAATATAGATTCAATTTGCTATAAAACAAACCCAAACCATTTAATCGAAAAATATATATGTGAAAAAAGAAAATTTTTAAATATCAGACTTGGTAAAATGAGAAGTTACAAATTTTCAACATCAAATTTAAAATCAAAATAAAATCCAAGCTTAACAAACATTAACCGAAAAACAAGTACCAGATAAAAACAAATTTCATTTAAAAACGGGAAATGAACCGACGGAAACTAGGCCGAAAATCACGAATCGTATAAAACATCAAGAAAATTATTTGAAAAAACCTAACACCGGAAACGGACTTCACCTGATGAATACCTAAATGAAGGTATTCTATTTGAATTTTCTAGAAATTGAGCATGTCTGAAGTTTACCATTCCTAAACATTTTACCATTCTGTGTCCAAAGTTATTAACGGGGAAAAAGTCTGGCATCCGATTGCAATACCCTTTCTTATCGCAAAGGTAACCATATTTAAGGCCTTCCGGAATACCTTGCGGTAGTCAAAACTGGCTAGAAAAAAATATATAAAAAAACAACCCTGATCCAGAGTCCTTTTCCACACTTCGAGAGTAGTCGGCACAAAGAGATAGTTTCGGAAGACAAAGTTTCATTCTCGGAATATCCGATGACACTGGAACATCTGAAAAAATTGCATTGATATTATTAGCACTTTTATGGACAGAAACTGTGGCATACAGAAACTTCATCAAGCACTCTCTGAGAACTCTCTAAAAACATGCAGAAGCAGTTAAAATCTCAGTTACAAGAAATGCTAGTTAAATTGTTTTCTAAAATCTAGACCCCAATAAATCTAGAAAATCTCGATACAATTTATATTAATTAACATTAGAAACAATGTTTGAAGCTTCCAGCAAACCAGCCGCATAAAACCGAAGCGCAAATTTACCAATCTACAGGGCATAAAACTCAGTATATTTAAATACTCAACCATCCTGCAAGCTTTTCAACTTTTAACTCAAAGGTCCAATGTCTTACTTCATTGCTCAAATCTATCTACAAAAGCATTGTCAAACTCTCAACATTGTCATTTAAGATGGTCAAAGCATTGTTTTACTTCCATTGAGCTTCGAAATCTGGTTGACGTTTTGATTCGAAATGGGCAATCCTAAGGCCGAGTACAATGTGAAGAGGAGCTGCACTGATATCATTTGCTGTCTGGTGTTCCTGGTTTTTCTAGTCGGATACACGGTGATAGCTTTCCTCGCTTTCTACAATGGGAACCCTGAACTACTCCTGCACCCACAGGCAGAGCTTTGACATCCCTCAGTTAAATTACTAGATGGCTATTTTTGAGTCATTTAAGAAAGGCTATAACAGATCTATATCTATTACGACCTAAGCTAGAAACCAATTACACAATTAATTGTGAAAAAATTACGTTTCAAATCTCGGCAATTTTTTCCAAAAATTACCATCTAGAGCTATCTCATTGCGAAGGGTGTTTTTTTATTGCCTCGAGATATTCTCAGTTTTTTTGTCATTCGCCATTTAAACGCCAACTATCTGTGTCTAAGCCCCGTCTTTCTTGTCTGACCAGGACAGCGAGGGTGACTTGTGCGGGATTGACAACAAGGAATGGGGTGGACCGGACATGAGTGAGAAACCACACCTGTTCCTGTTCGACATCACAAAGTGCGCCTCATTCCCCTCCTTCTCCGCCGAGGGATCTGTACAGATATGTCCCACTGTCAAGGTTAGCGGTCCATGCTCATTAGAGTCAAATTTTGTTCATCATTCTAATCTAGACTCACATCTAGAATTCGAACCTAAATATGCTCCCTCAGTTCTATCACCATTAAATAGATCAACCGTACTATTTCCACCAAAATCGATCAAGGGGGATAAAATACTGGTTTTTCAGAAATTGACTTCGAGGGCAAAATAAAATGATCTAACTAGTAAAAAAAAATCAATCGATAGCAAATTATGATTTAAATTTTACGCTATTAACAGGACTAAATAGCTATGCGGTATAAAAAATTTTCTCCCGCTGTATATTCAGCGTGCTTATTTCAAATGAATACTATATGCGGAATTAACTGTCACCAGTAATGCATTTTAGGGGAGGAAATTCTGCGGTACGCCACATAAGAGGTGAATTTTACGGTTGATCCCATTCATGTCCACTTTGATAGCTGTGCAACAGTTCTTTAATACTTAAACAACCCAAGCACAGTTTGACTTCCATAGAGTAAAAAATCCAATCATACAATTCCATACAAAAATTCGAAAAAAAATTTATTCATATCAACTTCGTGACTTTTGAGAACCAGTACTTTCACTGTATTCTTTTTTTTGTAAAATGAATTTGAACTGTAACCGTTATCTAGCATTATTTAAGATATACTTGCAACAATTCAGGATACTTATGTTTACTATTACACTGGCATCATCTACAAAATGAATAGTTCTTTCTGGTTTAGTGATTTAAAGCTATATGAAAATCACTAAAATAAAAAATTGTGGCTTTTTTAACATAGAGGCGTAACTGCAGCTTCCCAAACACGAGCCAGAAAGCGGCAAAGATTCTGTAGTTTTTAAATGCACAAAAACTGAAACTTTTCATGTAATAATTTGGAATGTAATTAACTAAAACAACCACACCAATTTATTAATTTAGAATGCATTAAACTAAATTGTGTATAAACTATGTATTCAAAATAACTCGTTAATCGACTTGGAACATTTCTGAAATTAAATTTTAATTATTATAATATTGTATGAAACAATAACTTTTTTCGATTCAATTGATGAATTAAAAAAGCATCAACTATGTTAACTTATTATTAATCAAATGTCAAAGCACGTGGGATTGTAATGCTATCTATTCAAAAGTGCCACCAAAACAAGCACTTTTATTTGCTATTTCGGTTGGAAAATTTTGACTTGTTCTATCACAATACGCTACGCTCGTGTAATAAAACTAACCCAATCAAAGGAAACTGGGTCAGAAGCATTCTTTTATTCCGCCGGGAAAACTAAAAATTACTATCCTCTTTCAGAACTAAAAGTCACACATTTATTGCGCGATTTGGGTTTTCATAATTGGAGAGCGTAATTCGTTTTCTTTTTAGCGAATAAGGTTGAATTGAAATTGAGAAGAATTGGATCAATTGAGCAATCTCTTCCCCCCCCCCCAATCTCGCGTGGGGGAGATAGATCAATAGGTACAATATTAAGGTGCTGCGGAGAACCGTTTTTTTGCTATTCAGATACAAGACTAGAGCAACAACCGCGGTAAATTGCTTTCCTCGATGAGGCTATCTCCCTAAAACAAAAAGTTGCGAAAAAAAAATTTTTTTTTTCATAATTTTCGATTTTTTTTTTCAATGTTTTTTTCGATACTCATATAAAATGAAGTTCAGTCGGTTAATTGATTGCGTGCTTTAAACACATCATCCATCTACTTGCGTTTGCTGACGTCTTTTTGTAGAGTTTTTTGTTTTTGCTGGGGGGGGGGAGATAGCTCAATAGGTCATTGCGGGGGGGGGGGGGGATTGCTCAATTGATCCGAAGAATTGTTAAGTTAAACCACGAAAAATTGAATTTGAGCATAATTAAGTTTTGAGACTTTCCTTAAAAACATTACCTATACAATTGTCTTATTACCTATACAAGTGTAATAGATTGTTATTAACATCATATTGTTAACATGAAAACTAAAGGCAGAAAAACAGATGAAAAACTTACCTATTAAAAGCATGCAACAGAAGTTATAAATTACAAATGGTAGTGCTTGTTCTAACTTAACTTTTCAGTGAAAGTTAACACTCCCACTAACAATTTAGAATTTTAATGCAAATTCCAATTTACAAAGTGTCTTTAGATCTGTGTCTCTTCCTGTCCCTCGTCCTACTGGACTTACGTGGGCGATGTCTCTCTTTACGAACAGGGCAAGAAGGACGAGATAGACTATGAAAAATACATCTGCCAGTATGACGTCACCGACCCTGAGAACACCCTGGACGGAGATCCGACTTCCCTAGTTGGTCAGGACAAGTGTGCCTCCTACTACCTGGACTCTTTCTCCCTGATGGGATATTGTGTGCCTAAGATTCTGGAGGATATCGCGGACCATGGATCCCAACTTGCGATCAGTAAGTTCTAATGTTCTCAAACAAACAATGAACGAAACAATGCGCTACACAAGGAATGGAATAGCAATGAGATAAATGAAAAATTGTCTCAAAAAGCACCGGCAAAAAGAACTCGACGTTCATTCATACTTGATCATTTACTCCGTTCAACTAGAGTTTGACAATTGAAAGGAAACGATAGAATTCATTTAAATGACAGAATCCGTCAAATAGCACAAAACATCCTCCATTGACAAAATATTAGCAAAATAACTCACCTTATGATTTGACCACAGATAAAAAACACAATCAAATGTGAAGCTTATTTCAAAATCAATCAACAATGTATTTGTTTTTCAACAAACAAATTAAATTACGCGAGATTGTTGCAATAACTGAATAGAAATTGTCTAACTGAATAGATAAAATTAAAGGGATGAAACATGTGAAAACAAACATTTTGCAACAATTGCAACGTGAGTGCCGAAAAAACTCCCTCTACTTGTCTGTAAGCAAGCAAGCAAAAAATGACAGTAGCACTGCCTTCAGTTTATCTAGGGGTAACAGACACGTCATATGAAAGATTGGTGAAATGGACTGATTCTTTCATTTGTTTAGAAGCTCATTGTCAAGGGAAATTCATTTCTCTAGAATTAGAATTGAATATGCTGTGCTCCACGTCATACCAAATCGATCGAGCTAGCTGATAACGTTCAATTAAACGTGGTATATAAATACTAAACGTCGCTCCAATTAAAAACTAATGGCAAAATTTCTGGCAAAACATTGAAAGAGACATACATCTGTTCGTTTAATCGGCAATGCTTTTTCAGAAAATAATGTGAAATGAAAAAATTTTGAAAAGGCATTAAGAGTCAAAAGGAAAATCCGAATCAAGTTAACATACCACCGACTGTCTGTTTGGGGGTAGAGGATGTTAGGTTGGTTTTGAGGTTCTGCATTTTCTGAGCAATTTCCATCGTATACCAACAGTGATGTGGAAGATTCGGATCAAACGTACAATCCCCCAATCGATTTAGGGTGGACAAAATACTGGTTTTTCATATATCAACTTTGAGGGCAAACTAAATTGATCTAACTAAAAAAAAAAATAATTACAAAATGACTATGAATGAAAATTTGGGGTCTTATGCCCTAAATGTAGTTCCAACCTAAGTTTATCTTTTTTTTTTCAAACTAGCGTAACTTTTTGTGGGGTGTGATAAAAAAATCTGAAAACAAAAAAATAGAAATTTGGCAAATGCGACAGACATTTTCAAATAGGCCAATTGGAAACCAGTTTTGTAGAAAAATGAAACTTCAAGTTTTTGATTACCAACATAATGCTAAAAACTCCAAAAACTAATTTTACTCGAGTAAAACTAAGTTTTAACGGCTTAATTTAGGCTTAAATAAGCTATTGTAACCCTGCACGCTCACCTTATTAGCTCGAAATTAGACCAAAAATCGACAGTTTCAAACCGGGTTTTTTTGACACCAAGAAAATTTTTTCAAAAAGGAAAAAGTTTTAATATGATATATCACTCGACCCATTGCGATGATTATTTGCGATACCTGATTTTTCGTGGAAAACAAAAAATCTAAGACACACCCAATTCATATTTTTCGAATGGTTGGGGCTGGAACATAAAGCGCGATTTGTCAATTATAAGCAATTTTTGCATTTTAGGTGACCTTTAGAGTGTAAAGGTTACCTTGAGACAGTATCGGAGTTAGGGGGGATGCCCCTCCCCTCAGGGCTTCGACCCCTTGCCGACCCAAAGGGTCCCCCCTTTGTACTATTTTGAGAAATCCATTTTTGGTTGAATGACCTTAAAATTTTTCTAAAAGCGCCTTCGAAACTTTCCAAAAAGTGCCTACAACAGAGAATTTGGCCAAAACAGGGTCTTTATAGGGCATTGGGAGAGCTCGGAAAATCCCCCCGCCTGGAGAAAATCCTAGATCGGCCCTTGCGCGCGCGCGCGCACACACACACACACACACACACACACACACACACAAACCTATCGCTCATCAAACGACACAACATTAGGCCAAAAAACCGCACAATATCGGTCGAAACCTTTTCAGCCGAAAAAATGAATAGAAAATCGAAAAAAAAATCGAAATTTTGCCAACTCGAGTTACATAAAAAGCAAATTTCGAATAGCACGGATAGAGGAGACCAGAAAATTAGCTCCGTAAATAGTTATCTCCGGGTAAAAAAAGTCTAGTACCCGCTTGTATAAAAAAAATATGGAGTCTTGGAAATAGCCAAAATTTCCAGTTGTCTTTTATCTTGCGCGGCGAAGTAATCCGACTCAGAAATCCTTGCAAATTAAATTGAGGCACGCTAATCGATACTATACTTTATGTGGAGCACAGCAGACCACGATGACAATGATTGAACTACGCAAAACTATGATGCAGTCACTCTCAAAGGGATATGCATCAATGAGAGGAAACCTGAGTTAAACAAGACTGCTCGTATCAGGGCGGAGCCCTGAATGTTCCAACTGCCTTGTAAGGTTTATGGAGCATCAATATCCTTAAAAAACTAAATGTAATAAAATAAAATGAGTTTTTTTTCTAAAATTTGAAAATTTTTATGAAAATCATCCCACCACACGCCATATTAAGTACAAAAGGATAAATTTCACTCCTTGTAACAAATCAATTATGGCAAATAAAGCTCTTTCACGATTTCTATGACGGATTAACTCTCCGCTTACGCGTTAATAGCGCGAAATAAATCGCGCATTAATTGTCCCAAATTGGTCAAAATGGCAATATTTAAACCCTCATAACTTTACAAAAAATGATCACATGTGAAATATCTTTTCAAATTTAAGCTCAGGACAACAATAGCTTTTGAATGATATAAAAAGTTCCGTCGAAAATGGCTAGTTAAAAAGTCGAAATTTGTCTGAAGAAAAAAACCCACCCCGAGCACAAATATTCCGTTACTTTCGTATCCAAACCGGAACAAAAATAAAGTCATAGACTCCCAAACTCACGGATAAGATATAGAAGAAAGTCACTTTCCTAAAAAACTCAATGCACTCTTCTTCAACTGCACTGAGGATATTCAATATCTAACACAGAGCCGAACTTGCACTTCGCAAAAGAACGACAAAATGGAGTTCTCATTTGTTGAAGTCTATTAGTGGCAATGAAAACCATATTTCATTTCTTTTTCAAAATATTACAATGAATTATCGTGTTTCGCGACAAGAAATAATTGAAATGCATATTCGGACAAAGTTTTATTTTACAGCCGTTTACAAAAAGTAGACCACACAATCGTTGTGCCAACTAAGATCTAATTTGAACAAGACCGTTGTGCCAACTAAGACTTAATTTGAACATCGCAGCTTCCGATTCATCATTTTTCAATTACACTCAAACCAAGAAGGCAATGCAAATAGTAATTTGCACAAAAATACGTATATTTTTCATCACAAAACTGTTTAGCAGCGAAATGACAAGGTTTTGAAATGTACTAAATTGTGCTAAATTGGCTGGTATTAATAAATTGGAGGACACCATGATAAGATAACACCAAATGTCAGATGGAATTAAGCTAAGTAAAATTCCTTCAAACCTTTTAACAAAAATTATTGCGTAAAACATCAGATTTCTCGTTTTTCTTCACTTGGTCCATTTTTCAGCGAATAGTGCGGATATGTAATTGACAAACAGCTTCGCTTACTTATTTACCAAAACAACCGAAACGACAGTTACAACTTTTATCATTCCAAAACAAAAAGAGTCTCTCTTGATTAAAGTATTGCTAACGATTTAAGAAACTCTCATTGCCATATTTCTATGCACAGTTTTAGGTGAACTTTTTCTAATCGAGCTTTGCTTTGTCCAAAACTTTCTTCTGAAGTTTTTCATAACTTTTTCTCAAACTATTTGTTTGACAAAAATAGGGCCTTTGCAGAAGAATTTGAAAGCAATGAAAAACCAATTTGATGGATGCAGAAAATCCACAACACAGTCTGAAATTTCTCGCGAAAATATTAGATGGGTCTCTAGTATGAATGTACATTTCCAGATGCCCAGACAGGCGAAATGACAATCAATGGGGAGCCTGTGACTACGGATCAGAACAGTTCAGTGACCTATCAGGCACTTACAACTGGTGCGAATGCCCTGAGTAGTGTGATGGGTGCTACTGAGAAAGCGTCTTCCTTCTTCCAGGATATCTACAACACCGGGTGGCTCATTCTCGTATTTCTCGCACTAGGGCTACTGGCCACTTTGTTCTGTCTCTTCTTGTTGCAGTTCTTCGTCAATATATTTGTATGGACTCTGCTGTTTCTGGTGCTGTTCGCTTCTGCCTTGTTGTCCGTGTTCTTCTGGTACGAGTACAAGTAAGTTCATGCACTCCAATATTCCCAATCAATTTCACCTCACTGTTTCATCAATGTTTTTCAATTTCACCCTACTCAGGTTAATAGGTTAGTCAGTGGCGCATGTATGAGGGGGGGGGGAGCAAAGGACACCCCTTGCTCTCGTCTAAATATGACCCTCTCACCGCCACCCAAACAAAGCCAACATTGAGAAAACATGAACGAATTCATGAAAGCTACAAGTATCAAATGAGAGTAAAGTTCATAAAGCTCAAGTAACAGCGGATGAAAGAAAAATTAACACCTAAAACCTGGAAGCAAATTTCTAATTTCAGAACACGAAAAGACGAAGCGAACGAGAGTGGTTCAGAGCCAGGTAAACACATATTTTTCTATGTCAGCATCAAAAACGCACTGATGTTCAAATTTCATTTTAAGATCCCATTGAATATAATACAATGAAACCATTTGATATGTTAATTAAATACACATTACTAAGAAAATTTAACACAACCTAGGAACTTTCAACAAGCTTTATATAATTTTTTTTAAAGAAAACTTCAAACTGACAACGAACTTCGCCTACTACGCGGATCTATATACGACTTACTTCATTCTGGCCATCGCTTCAACTGCGCTGTTCGCCATCCTCCTCTTCACCATACTGTTCCTGTTTAACAGAGTCAGGCTGGGTAAAAATGAACAATTTAAATAATTTGAGCATTTATCGCTATTAAATTTGTTTAAAAAAAGCCAATTAGGTTCTACTCACCTTCGAAGACTGGTGGTAATTATCAATGGTTTAAGTGAGACAAAAATTAACTCCCATTCAAAGTATTTAGTTCATATTTGATTACTATGAAAGTGAAACGAAACATAACGATTGACTTCTATATCATTTTTCAATTTCAAAATGCAGAGAAAAAAAATATCACGTTAAAGCTTTTTGGAATCACTTTTGCGAGCATTCAAAACGATACATTTTCATAAACTTAATGCGATTTGAGAACACTAGTACAACATGTAAGTTTTCTATTCCTCTGAGAAATCTAACAAGTAAAATCTACTTTTGAAATTAGCACTAATTCACGTGTTTACGCCATTTTAACTTTTGTAATCGTAGAGTATAATTTTTCTTGCTTTTAGCAATTAACTGATTTGAACTTTTAAAAAAATCATTTGTAAAAGCCACAAAAAACAAGGATAACCGGATACTGTGCAAAAAGCAAAGAAGATTCCGACCATAGTCTTTTTTTAAATAACTGAACTATAAAGCGAACGCCCAAAAAATCATCGTACTAACTGAAATAAAGCAAATAATATAAAATATAATTTTCAAGTCTGAAAATGCTACTTGCTACTTTTCTCTGCTTGTAAATACTTCTGTGAAAATATATCAATTTTTAGATGCATAATAAAGCTTGTAGATGCATAATAAAGGAACTGTAAGATTTTGGAGTTTTTTTTCTATAAATCTATTAAATTTTTTTTCAGTATAAATGTTACTTAGATAAAACAATCAGGTCCATATGAGACAGTACTTAATAGAAAGTTCTCAGCGGCGCTTCGACAGGTTGAATTACATTCTGCGCTTGCTCAAGTTGGTGCTCTATCAATGATAAGTTCTCTATATTATTGGATTATTGCACTACTTGAAACAAATTTATTATTTATTATTTATTATTATAATTTAGGCATTTTCGACAGTCATAGAAAAATGACTAGAAACACAAAAAAATCATTAAAAAATTCAATTTTGTGAATTTTTGAAGATTTTGATTCCCAAAATGACATTAAAAATCTCCAAAAGCTAGTTTTAGTCGAGTAAAACTAAAATAAAGCAAACTAACTGTTACAGTTTTATCTTGTACTTGTTTTGTGTAATTGTCATGTTTGTGTATTTCAGAGAGGTGGGGTTGTAATTTACGTATTTACTAATGCCAGTTTTATCACAAACTATTGTAGATGGCCTGATTTTGCGCGGAAAACAAAAGAAAAAAAAACGAAAGCACACCCGAATACAAAACTCCTCCCTATTTTTTAAATGGTCGGAACAAAAACAACATGACATGTATAAGCGTCTTCACTACGTTCACTGAGGTTTTATTATTAAAACTTTCTTGTGTACCCCATTCACAACCGCGGCCAATTCTTTTCAGAAACTGAAGATTCTAAAAATGGCAACTATATTAGGCCGCACTTGATCACGTTTCTTTTTTCTGCTTAGCTATTCAGCTGATTATCGAGGGCAGCAAGTGCGTGCTTGACAACCTGGGCACTGTGCTGCTCCCAGGGGCCACTTGGATTCTCATTATCGGAGTATTGACCTTCACCCTTGTGACTGGAGTGTTCATATCCGCATTTGGAGTGGAGGTCAGGAACCAGAACACCACTCTGCTGGAGGAGTGTAGCAAGAATGACAGCACGAGTCAGTGTGTGCATCAGAAGTTCTCCAACTGTTATGTCAATGTCACGGATGCAGGCGCCGCAGCTGCAGGTAGGACTAAGAGGACGGCCTATTCAGTTTTTTGAGCAGGATAAAACTTTTTCTTTCGTCAGCTGAGATAGGCCACCATCTCCTATGATTTTACTCTCCATTCAGTTTTAAAATAGCGCTTGAAGAACAGATCTCCGAAAGTGTCATAGAAGACACTGGCTCTAGCAAATTTAAACGTTTCTTCAACAAGCAAACAACACACTTGGCAGCCTAGGGTATCATAAATGATGAAATCAATTGACGGTGTTTTACCATTGTCAGTAAGTGTTGACCTAGGCAGTAACTGTTTCTTGATGAACTTCGTGAGTGGGAACTACATCTGGATGATGCAGCTTTACAACATACTGGGGGGTCTATGGCTGGTGTTCTTCGTCATAGGCGCAATCCAAGTCATCCAGGCAGGAGTCTATGCTGACTGGTATTGGAATCAAGGCGACACATCTGTGCTACCAACTACTCGATCTGTTTACAGGATGTTCAGGCATAAGAATCAAGCTTTGAATTTGAACGCTTAGATTAGTCACCACTAAATAACGAAGCAATTCAATCTAACTTTTAATTCACAAGACTAAGCAAAAACTGAAATGAATTCTCAGGAAAATGCATTTTTGAATTTGAACTGATGTCTCCAATTTTCTGATATGGTGGCTTCGAGTCAGGAACTCGAGTGAGTTGATGACCGAATATTCTGTATTGGTGTGTGCTTGCTGCATGAACAATATCGATTGTTTATAATAAATTGAGATTTGGCGGTGATTCAGGTACCACACTGGCTCTGTTGCATTTGGTTCTTTCCTCATAGCCACTCTCACTCTGCTGAGGATGCTGCTGGAGTACATAGACCAGAAGCTCAAGGACAAGGACAAGAGCGATGTGGCCGAATTCATGCTCAAATGCATGAAGTGAGTTGACAGTTTCCCACTCAAGTCTCCTCGAAGACAAACCTAAGCGCCGGAGCTGGATGAAACTTTTCATTTAATTAATGTCAGGATCATAATTATTGAAGGTCAACTATCGCTGAATGACAAACAAAGCTGAATAATAGCCAATTATGGAACCAATTATATAATAAGTTTCAAAAATTTGGAACAGACAAATAGTTTTAACGTTTAAGACAAATATTTCCGTCCATAGTTCAGACCTAAGTTTATTTTTTTTTCAAACTAGCGTATTTTTTTGTGTGGTGTGATAAAAAATCTGAAAACGAAAAAAGAGAAATTTGGCAAATGCGACAGACATTTTCAAATAGGCCAATTGGAAACCAGTTTTGTAGAAAAATGAAAGAAAAATTGAACTTCAAGTTTTTGATTACCAACATAATGCTAAAAACTCCGAAAAATAATTTTACTCGAGTAAAACTAAGTTTTAACGGCTTAATTTAGGGTTAAATAAGCTATTGTAAGCCTGCACGCTCACCTTATTAGCTCGAAATTAGACCAAAAATCGAAAGTTTCAAACGGGTTTTATTGACACTAAGAAAATCTTTTCAAAAAGGAAAAAGTTTCAATATGATATATCACTCGACCCTTTGCGATGATTATTTGCGATAACTGATTTTTCGTGGAAAACAAAAAACCTAAGACACACCAACCCGTAAACAAATTCTTTCATATTTTTCAAATGGTTGGGGTTGGAACAAAAAGGGCCATCTGTCAATTATAAGCAATTTTTGCATTTTAGGCAACCATTAGTGTTAAGGTTACCTTGAGACAGTAGCGGATTTAGGGGGGGATGCACCTCCCCTCAGGGATTCGACCCCTTGCCGACCCAAAGGGTCCCGCTTTGTACTATTTTGAGAAATCCATTTTTGGTTGACTGACCTTATAACTTTTCTAAAGGCGCCTTGGTCAAATGCCAAATTAGGGTCTTTATAGTGATTTGAGAGAGCTCAGAAAATCAATTTGGTCGACCTAAAAATTTTTTTTGAATATTTCTAGAAACAGGAACACAACTTTTATCATCATCAAATGTTTCAGGTGCTTCATGTACTGCTTGCAGAAGGCGGTTAAGGTGATCAACAAGAATGCTTACATTGTGATCGCTTCTTATGGGAAAAACTTCTGCTCCTCCGCGACTGAGGCTCTTCGGCTGTTGATCACCAACTGTCTGAGAGTGATAGTGCTGAACACAATCACGGAGGCACTCTTGTTCACATGCCAATTAGGCATAGTCACTGGCATGGGTATGCAATTTCATTCTTATACTTTAGGACAACATCAGAGAGAAATTGGATATAAACTCAATTAAGACTTAATTGGGCACTAATCAGAAGAAAGAACAGGTAAAAGCGCGCGAGTTAGTTGTTGTTTTCCATGCAGCAATTTATCCATCGAATTCGTATTATACATTTTAAGAACGCGTCATCCTGAATTTCTGATAAAATTTCAAGATAGCTCGCTGCTCAAGAGCGACAGCGAGAGCAAAAATTTTAGATGGCAGCGGTTTCTTGGAAATAAAATGCCCGACATTCTGTATCAAGCCAGTGGTAAGTCATTTTTAGCTCTCCTATTAATGAACAACTACTGTGTGAGCTATTTTTGTAGGTTTCTTCTCCTACTATGCCATAACTAAGGAATGGTTCAGCGACTACTACCACACCCCCGAACTGACCTACTTCTTCGCTCCCATCATAGTAGTGCTAGTGGGCACCTGGGTCATCTGCAAACTATTCTTCGATGTGTACGACATGGCCATAGACACCCTATTTATATGTGTACTAGAGGATCTGGAGCATAATAATGGCTCCAAAGACAAGCCATACCACATGAGTATGAATATGCAAAAGCTGCTAGTCAGAGGCAAGACACACAATGTTGGGGACGAAGACAGCGAAACCAAAATGTGAATACATCAATTGGAATAACAAACATTAAAATCAGATATAATTAAAATCAAGACGAAAAACAATTAAAGACGTACGATTATCCTATTTGAAGCTCTAACAGTTTACTATAATTGAGTTTGAATAATATACTTTTTAAACAGAGGCTAAGCCGAGCTTCGCAGTATTTGCGATACAATACAAAGCCAATAAAGCAAAAAAAAATTAAAAAAAACTAAAATGTCGAAAAAACTAGATATATCAAAAAATGAATGAAACTAGTTTTCGAAAAAAAACACCAAGATAACAGAAGGTAAAACTAGCATCAGAAGCAAACTTGACACGCGGTAACTAAGCCAAAAAATACCTGAGCAGAAATCCTTCAATTCGAAAAAAATTCAAGATTTAACAACTAATTTTAAAAAAATGCTTAAGCCCAACCACCCTCAAAAAACACACGCACACGAAGATATTTTTTGCTCATCAAACGACGGAATATGAAGCCATTAAGCCGATATAAAACAGGCCGAAACCTAATAACAACATTTTAAATCGAAAAAATATTTTACACGAATATATTTTTTGCTCATCAAACGACGGAATATGAAGCCAATAAGCCGATATAAAACAGGCCGAAACCTATTAAACCGAGAAAAAAAAACATGAAAAAAAAAAGAAAAAAAAAACGAGTTGACAAAATTACAACCAACATTAAAACCAAACTTTGGTTCCGCCGGATTTTTATAAAGCTAACATGCTCAAAAATGTCTGTTGAAGCAAAGTAGATGAATGCGTCCAGAATTCAATGCGTTAAGGATGAATTCCCTTAGCAAGTTTTGCTGACAAGCTGACTACAGATAATCAATGCTTGCGTGACCTGTCATTTCCGCCCCAGAAACTTCCAACCCAAAAACCCAGTCATTTCCGCCCCGAAATCAGTCATTTCCGCCCGAAACGATTCTCATTAGTTCGCGTTGACATACATTATCAAACAACAGCATGTTTTGAATAGAATAAATTTTGAATAGAAAATCTTGAACAGAAAACAGAGGTCATTGCTAGAAAACAGTCGGGTTTTTTTTTTGATTTTTTCATGTCTTAACCTTGATGAAAAAATTCTATATCAAAAAATGCCAGCTCATTGATGAAATCTTCTGTGACTCAAAACACATCGCAATAACCATCGAAAATTAGTAAAAGTCGATCAATTCAATGAGAAAAATTGTAAAATTGAATATTATTTTGAAATCGAAAAGTTAAAAAAGAAAAAAAAAATTGATTTGTAAAAACAATCTGAGCCCATCTTAAAATGGAGCCCGTAAAAAAGATACCAGCAAATATACAATTAAACTAAAACAAATTCGGCCGCCCAAATCAATTTTGCCTTTAGATCAAATTCGCCTAGATTATTCATCATTTAATTAAAACGCATACTTCGATTGAAAATACCCGAAATACCGGAAAAAATAAATTACTCATCACTTTCTTTAGTTGAAATTATAATTTATTGTCATATTAACTCATTCTTTGATTGAAACTGCCCCAATTGTTATTAGAAACTGAGCGCGTATCAGAAATTTACAAAAACTTGTGAATAGCCATCAAAATAAAAACAAATTCGGCTGCCCAAAATATCGCTTAAAATAAATTATTCATCAATTTAATTCATTAATTTCAGTCAAAATCAAAATGTCCAGCCAAAAATTAACTTCTGAAGGGTTCGATAAGCTAAACAGACAAGTTATAATGATCTTTATGACCAAAGAGAGGATTACAGGAAAATCATTTAAGTAATCACAAAGACAGGGTGTTTATCATATGTGAGTGGGGCTACTACAACTGAAGCAACTAACCAGACTACCGAAGCCAAGATAGGTAAATTTGAACTTTTCAAATTCCCCGATGACTCCAAAAGTTTGATTTTGGGATCCAGTATCACGGCTCGAATAAGAGCCGAAACTATGCCGAATGACACGATAATTCATTCCATTAGAGGAAGTAGTACTGAAGACAAAATCAAAGTTTTGAGTAAGTATCCATCAACAGAACTTAAAAATGTTATGGTTCAAGATGGCACCAATTCCATCCTGAAGTCAAAGTATGATCATGTGAATGAGTTTGCAATCAAACACCAGAAATTTATTGATGATATTACCAATAAGCTTACTCCAGAAATGATTGTAGTGTGCGAGAGGAGGCAAACTCTATGATTCAGTTTTATAATGACTACTTAAACGACACTTACAGTAGCAAACCAGGTTTTCAAGTGCTTAAACTCAGCGCTAAGATTGGAAATATCCATAACTGGAGCTTTCTATATTGGGATAACATTCATCTTAATGATGATCATGGTGTAACATTTTTGCGCAATTGCCTTCGTTCAATTGTATGCCAATACTCAAACAACGTAAAAACAATGCAAATAAAAACCATACTAAAAATCAACCTCATGATTACGCACAAAATTATTTTCCATCAGACGACGAAGACCTCGTTCTTACAGTATTGATCAACCAGATATTTTCGAACCATACACACGAAATGAACAAATAGGACAACCGAGAACTAACCCAACACCTTACAACCATAATTTTCAACAACAAAATCCAGTTAATACACATTCATACCAACCAACCCAGATGCAAAATGAAATCCCACTACCATATTATTTACAACATGAAATTTAAAAAAAGCCAACTAACAAATTTTTCTCAAAAGCCACATTCCGCAGAATCCCTACAAATGACTATGAATCCATACCTAATGCGTGGATCATTATTAACATCAAATAAACCACTCATGGTATTCACAGGCACAGACCATGAATACTCTGTAGAAGATTACCTAAACGCAGTCACAGCAAATTTAATTTTAAATATAGGACCTGAACCAGTAAACACGCCACTTCATCAAAATTGGATACATAGACGCACAGCTCTAATCCAAACTACCCTTGACGGCGCAGCTCAAAAATGCTTTTCAGTTTTACCTATAGAAAAAAAGTCAGATTAGAAAAGATTCACACAAGAATTCTCAAAAATGTTTGACTCACAAAGAAACAAACAACATCAAACAGTTTTATGCAACGAAATTCGTCGACTACCTAATGAAACAATAAAACAACTGGCAGTAAGAATAGAAACACTAGTCCGAAAATCATATTCATTTAAAACTCATGATTATAAAAAATCAAAGATGACAGAAATGATGACTCTAACACCTCAATTACGAAAAACAGCAAAAAAAGAGAGCATCACATCCTTCCTCAATCCGAGAACCAGATTTAGATTTTAGGAAATTAGTAGATAAACTAGGACAAGCAGAAATCACTATGAAATTGGAAGAAACAGAAAACTTAAAACTACACAATATGTAAACAACATCCAGACAAATACTTCGCACATAAACAATATCAACGACTCTGATACCGATTTATCCGACAAATCACCAAAAATTTGAACATTTACGAGAACAACTTAAATTTCAAAGGCAAACCGTCATTCAGAAAATGGTGTAATTATTGTTGACGATACGGACACAGTTACGCTGAATGCAGACAAAAACAACAAGATAACCAAAATAAACCACAAAAACATAGATAACCCAACAAATCTTTTCATCAATACATGAAGAAAGATCAAAATTACCCAACAAAAACATTCATAGCAATAACAGTTTAGAAAAACCACTTCCAAATAACTCCAACTACTCTAGACAACAATCACCCTATAATACAAATTATAGAGGACGATCACCATACCAAAGAAACTCCCAAAATTTATCACAAAACAGATATAGTCAATCAAATAGTCGAAATAATCAATATCAAAATAACTATTCAAGATCAAATTCAAATCAACAGAGATTTAACGACAGATCCCATTCAAATTCTAGAAATCGAAATTACTCAAATAATAGATCTAGAAACTCCTCATACAATCGGCATAGAAATTATTCTAACGATCGGAATAGAAGCTATTCAAACAATCGAAACCCTAGATATCAAAATAATCGATCACGCGATTATTCAAACAACAGATCAAAATATAATAATTATCAAAATAGATCAAGCGACAATTCACAGAACAGAAGCTCAAGCTATAACAACAGACAAAGAAACTACTCTCTATCACCACATAGGAATAACACACGTTATCAAAATTCACAACAAAATTATAGGAGTAATACACCTAAACATCAAAGACAAATCAATCAAGTACAATCAACTGAAGAAACTCAACCCGACCCCCCGGTATTGACAATAACGAAAGCACAGAATTGCATCAATTGGGAATTCACAGATAGCGAAAGTGATACAGAAAACAATAGATAAATGTTGAAAATGACTATGAGCCAATTATATACGAACAACCGATATATTCCCATATATATCAAAACCATGATAAAACTCTTTTGAAATATTATACAAGACCAGTATCAAACAGCACAACAAAAAAATAGACCAGTATTAAACAGCACAAAAAAAATATCAAACAGCACAACAGAATGTTCAAGCACAAATAACATTTATCAAAACATACCTAAAGAAATACATCTACAATAAGAAAAAATATGGACAATTCCACTTCTTTTAGAAAGTCCCAAATCAAAACAATTGCAAACACCAGACCTTGAAATAGATTTTTTAATCGAATCTGGAGCAGAATCAAACATTATAAACATTCCCACTTGGAATGAAATTAAAATTCTACATCCACAACTGATACCCTTCAAAACAACAAGTAGACTAGCAACCGCTCAAGGACCAACCTTAACAAACTATGGAAAAATACAACTCTTCCTAGTTCCCACTCGAACAATGGAACAAAACAAACTCATAAGCAAACCATTTAAACAAACTTTCCATATCACTGATATAAAACACAATATCATTGGAATACCATTTATTACTAAAAATATACCAACAACAAACATCTTAAATAGTGAAAATCATACTAAAGACAAAAACACGAGAATGAAAAACACCTCTTTGACATTTTCCAAAGAATAAACAAACAACCACCATTTTTCTCAAAATTTTACCCCATATATTATCAAGAAAAAAACACCTGAAACCACTATCAGGAAATAAGTATAACTTTTTGATTAAACAAGTTCACCAATATGATAAAGAGCAAAATAAACAACAT